CATTATAGAAATAATATGGTTTAGTTAACTCAATTCTTTCAAGAAATAAAATTTATTTAACAGTTTAAAATCCAAATTTGCTCTGATGTTTCAATTATTCTAATATTTTCTGCTGCTTTTGCTGTTAATACACAAGTCAAGTGGACTGCCAAACTCTCTGTCTGATCATTTCATGTCAACATTAAACAGACTGAAGTAAGCTATTAGTGAGGACCACCAACAATATAGCTTGTTTTGTTTCTTTGAGGAAAGTAACTAGTTTATATATTTATATATATATATATATATATATAAGGATAAACAATTGCTTAATAATCAATTCCTATGATCATAAACATTGGTATTTTGTTCTTAGGGCCACCCTGAGCATCATATCCTCATGTTGATTGGTTCTTTCAGTCTCAATCTAGTGCTCATCAAGTTGATGGCACTTTGGAAATGAAAGGGTGTTAAAGTTTTGCTTTATACTCGACTGATTTATTGCTGCAACTTATTTGTTGATGGACAATATCTGAAGAAGGAACTCTGCCTATACTCTTCATTTCTTCTTTGATACATTATGGTAAAAAAAGATGGCATACTCACATTTATTTATACTTCCAAATGTTCAAATTCTTTGAAAAATAAACTTTATTTACACTTTGGATCTACTTCTGTTTACATATTTTTGGAGAGTCCGAGCAACGTAGTGGCTCAATAGTCGTGGTGTCTTTTGCCCTAGCTTTTCACTTCTTTCATAGCTTATTAATTCTGTATCCCTGTTAATGTACTGTCGCTTATTGGCCTTTTCATTTGTATATGTTCTGCATCTTGTAATGCTGACAGCTTGAGTTGTCTTGCAGAAAAGTATTGCAGACAAACTTCAAAATTTGGAACGCGAAAAGGGGAGTATTGAAAATGAAATTAGACATATCCAGCCTGAACTTGAGCAGGTGTTTATACTATCTATCTTAGAATCTTTGGTTTTCTCTTTTAACATGGGTCTTACTCGGAGTTTCTGCAGTTGAACAGAAAAATAGATGCAAGGGCACAAGAGATCTTATCACGAGAGAAAAGGATCAATGACATTGTTGACAGAATCTACAAAAAGTTCAGTGAATCTGTTGGGGTGAGAAATATTAGGGAGTATGAAGAAAATCAGCTCAAAGCTGTTCAGGAAATGTCTGAAGAAAGGCTCAATTTACATAATCAACAATCGAAGCTTAAGTCACAGTATGTTTCCTCTCTGATTAATGTTGTCGGTTCCTTAAAACTATTAGAATAAATTCAATGATAAATAGATGCCGACGTCGACCTAATCATCTGACATTCTGATATTGTTTCTCATAATCATATTTTCTGCCCTTAAGCCAAACAAGCGTCCATACTTTTTTTAAAAAAAAAATTGGACTTGATTTTCGTTGAGTATTTTGCTGTCCTCATCAGTTGTTTGAGCTATAAAGCTAATAATAATATTGAAGGCTTGTTATTGTTTTAAAAGTTGCATTGTTAATTTTCAGCCTAGTTGTAGCACATGCCACTTCTTAATTCAAGCATGTTTCAGGTTGGAATATGAGCAGAAGCGGGACATGGATTCACGAATTGTAAAACTGGAATCTACCCTTAATAACTCAAAAGAGAAATTAAAGGAGGTTGAGACCAAGGAGTCGGATCTGAAGTCGTCCATGGAGAAAGCTACAAAGGAGATAGACGATTACAAGGAAGAAGTATTTGGTATGCTTTAAGTTTCAATTTTTTGTAGAGCCCTTTCCCTAGCTTTTCAGCCTTGTTGGACTAGATATTTCTGTATGCTTGTACTTTCTTTGTAGAAGTATTACAAAAGATTCCTTCTCCAATATCTGTAAAAGCCTCATCAGATAAAGTGCATATTATGATAGGGTGAAACTCTACCATGTTATGCTTCTTTTATGATAAATCAGATTGCAGCAACAACTGCCAATTTCTAACTAGTCTAAAACATGGAAAAATAGCATTGCATGATACTTCAAATAATTCTTTTTCCTGCTCACATTTCCGAAACATGAGAAGTTGAATTGGAGCTATTGTTTTGGTGTCGTGCTTTCTTCCTTTCGGTGCACTTTGGAATTAGTTGAAGATGCTGAAATTCTGTCACACTTAACAGAATATCTGTATGAATAGACAGGGTAAACTTCTCTTCTGCAATTTTTGGATGTTGTCACAGCACTTTCTTAGTGCTTTTTTTAAGCATTAATAATTCTTGCCTATTAAAAAAAACATCTTCTGGGACTTCATGAAATGCAAATTGTGTTTGAATAAATTGGTAAAGAGGGAGTATCACTTCCTGATGGTAATTAACTAGTTATACATTCACTTCCCAATTCAATTATATTTCATCTCCTCCTTTGAATATACTTTTTTTGGTCATGTCAGGCAACTGAATGCCCAGTATTAGTCATTCCTTTTCCTATGTTCGTACTTTTGCAATAGGCCCCTTTCTCCCAATATGTTGTACATTAACAGAATTTTATTCCTTTCCTTCTGCAGCATGGAGGTCCAAATCAGAAGAATGTGAAAAGCAGCTGCAGGAGTGGCAGAAAAAGATCTCTGCTGAAACAACTAGCATTAGCAAACATAACCGTCAAATTAAATCAAAGGTTTTTCTGATCAATGATAATTTCTTGGAGAAGTTCTTTCTTATCTAGCTATGGCTTCTGAGAATCCACTCATTTTTACCAATTGCATTCATATATGTTGAAAAGGAGTGCTTTCCTCTTAAAAATATGAGTATATGAGTGCTTTTGTTCTTTGTTTTACAGGAGGCACAGATTGAACAACTGAATTCAAAAAAACAGGAAATATTGGAGAAATGTGAACTGGAGCAAATAGAACTGCCCACTATCTCTGATCCAATGGATACTGGAGAGTCTACACCTGGCCCTGTTTTTGATTTCAGTAAACTGAGTAGAACATATCAGCAGATTACGAAGCCCACTGAAAGGGAGAAACATGAGGTGGATTTTACTCAGAAAATTGCTTCCTTGATGTCGGAGATAGAAAGAACAGCTCCAAATCTGAAGGCCCTTGATCAATACAAAGATTTACTGAAAAAGGAGGAAGATGTTAATAAAGAATTTGAAGTGGCCAAAAATGAGGAGAAGAAAGTTACTGATGAATATAATAGAGTTAAAGGGGGCAGGTATTATTAATCTCAAATGCTGAAATTCACATGTATCTCGATATAATTTCACCATGATATTCCTGAATGTCAGAGTAAGTGAAGTGGTTACTTTACTTGTTGGAGATGAGGTTACAGTAGTATGCTGTCAGGAGATCATTACCCTATAGAATTGTTTGATCTATGTATGCTTGCTTATTTGTGGTTGTTCAGTCCTCTGCTTCAATTAATGTTTTTATACATGGGGTTTTAAGAAGGGAATTCTGCTTTTGGTAAGCCTTGGAGATCCATTTGTTTGAGGCCACGTTTATTGATCTTCTATTAAAACCAATCTCTAATTTATGTATCCTTAAATTATCCTTTGCAAGGATGAAAAAACTACAGGAAAGACACATAAGGCACCAAAAATAAAAAGAAAGAACTAGAGAAATTTATGTATTGCTGAAGCATATATGTATTTTTTTATTTCAATTTTTTTTTGTTGAAGCGAGTTCTTTATTGCACTCTTTCTGGCCATATTCTTGATTAGTTGATATATTCATGAGACAATATGCTCCCTTTTATATTCTATCCTGTAGAAAAAAATAGCAAAAGTTGACTACCATATCTGTTATCGTTACTGTGTGGTATTTTGTTGCTCTGAAGTCTGCGTGTTCCCTTCTTGTGGGATTAAAGAGTATGTTGTTGGTGAAGTCTGCATGTACTGCTTGCAGGTATGAATTGTTTATGAAAGCTTTCAATTATATATCTGGCAAAATCGACCAGATATACAAGCAGCTCACAAAGAGCAATACACATCCTCTCGGTGGGACGGCATATCTTAACTTGGATAATGAAGATGAGCCATTTTTACATGGTATCAAGTATACCGCTATGCCCCCAACAAAACGGTTTCGGGATATGGAACAGCTTTCAGGAGGAGAGAAGACGGTTGCAGCACTTGCATTGCTTTTTGCTATCCACAGGTAATCTGTGTGGCTACTCACAAACTCATTATGCTAGCAGGAAGTAGGGAAATACTTCTTTTAGTCTCAGAAATTACTAATGTTCATTTGGCACAGTTGACATCCACTTGATATGCAAATATCAGTTAGTGTGAGCGAATTGTAGATAGTGTCATAGTGATAATACCTATCTTGTGATAATACCTATCTTGTTTCCTTCCAATTTGAACTTTTTTGTGTGATTTTCAGTTTTAGACCGTCTCCATTCTTCATACTGGATGAAGTTGATGCTGCATTGGATAATCTGAATGTTGCCAAAGTTGCTGGATTCATTCGATCAAAGTCGTGTGGAGGTGCTAGGCTTACTCAGGATCCTGAAGAAGGATGTGGCTTCCAAAGCATTGTTATCTCTCTGAAAGACAGCTTTTATGACAAAGCTGAAGCTTTGGTTGGTGTTTACAGGGATGCTGAGAGAGGGTAAGATTCTGCAGCCTCTCTATCACTCACTTCCCTTCTCTCTTCTTACTTGAGATAATAACATGAACATGGTTGTTTTTTTTTTTTCTTTTCTTGTTGCAGTTGCTCGAGCACATTGACATTTGATCTGACCAAGTACAGGGAATCGTGAAAGTCCAATCTCTTAATTCTCTGGAGATGTAGTTCACCGATGTTTAGATTGTATTTAACTGATCTTTGGTGGGTCGTTAATATAACAGTTCAAATGTAGTGTAGATTGGTATATAAGTGATCTTGTTACATTATATACATACAGTTGTTTGAAGTTTCACAACGCTCGTATCTAAATGTATTTTACTTGTGATTTTAAGTAGTACATATTGTGGCTGCTTATTTGCTTTGAAATCTTCACTTAGAGACTCATAATTAAGGGTGTTACGAAAGCAGGAAAGGATGACACATAGTTTAGTCTGAGAATGTTATAATAGCACCCACACGAACACAAGTAGAACTAAAAATGTCCATTGAACCACATAGCTTACAGAAAAAGCTAACACACTTGTAGTAACAATCAATTAGTCGCAGGCTTCATTAGCTTGAGATAACTGTTGAGCCAAAACAGAAGCAGATTTTTCAGAAACCAAAGCTTGAATTAGCATGGTCTTTACTTCCCAAGCACTGTAGGGATAATTCTGTCTGGCATATGAGTTCAACAATGCAGCTGTTGATTGCTTCACTAATCTGGCAAATACGTTATCCCCATCGTCGTTTCTTCCAGCAGCTTCTAACAATGTTAGATCGTACCTGTATCGCTCGTAGGCCCTGGATCCAAATATTTTAGATACTGTCGATGTCTGTGGTACCATTTTTGGCCATGACTCTCTCCTGCTGCTCCAATACCTATTTCATTCACCAATAGCAAAATAACAGTTTTTTATAGCTCATTGCCATAGTGATGATAATGCTAGCAATTTTAGACTAGTAGAAAGAAGGGTTTCTTACTGAGGAGTACATCTTCCTCTGTTTCTGGTGTACACAAATCCAGGTCTAAACTGTTGCGCCGATACATCCAAGTAATAAGTAAATAAGAGCACTAGAAGAGCCAAACGATTCTTCCGTATAAGAGAATTAGCCATTTTCTTTTGAGTTATCTCAAACTCTCTAGTGGAAGTTATGTACATTTGGATCTGAAGAAAAACACATCCATCTTTTGGTCGTCCTCGAAAGTGGTGCAAATTTGAAGTTGCTTGCTTTTATTGAAACTATCACTTTCATTATTTCTCCATTTTTTAACTTTATTTGCTGTATAATGGGTCAGGTGTTTGTTTGTAGCTAATGACATCCCACGTGGCGGATACCTTACCTTGCACGAATAATTTATCCTTTACTTTATATAGGGACCGTTGTGGGTTATATTCCGTCTTATTTTGTTTTGAATTCCATTTTTATATACAATCAATTAAACCTAGTAATCGTGGTAACTAATGATTTGATTTCCCTTGTAGGAAAAAAAAAATGATAGTAATTTACGACAAGCTGTGAGCTGTGGCAGTAGATAATGGTAATTGATAGTGGTTGTTGTGACCAGTGTTACAGAGTGTAAAGAAAACTAAACTTAGTAACTAATGTCTAAATAATTATAATTTGAGAGTTGAAAACAAATTAACTTGGTGAATAAAATTTGAATGATTCAAATTCAAATCTTTATCCAGTATAATGAATAAAATCCCTGATATAAAAAGAAAATGATGGAATCAAAGAGTTCTCACGCTAGATATTTCAAATTTGAGCCACTAAAGAGATAGAGAGTAGTAATAACAAGCTTAAATATGATCTCACAAAACCCAGTGTGCATATGTATGTACAACTGATAAAACAGGACAGATACAACGCTTGACCACAATTATATTGCAATAATAAAAAAATGGGTTTGAAGCAACAATATATACATATTACGCGCAGGAGTGGCAATCATGCAAAGAGTTCCTCACGTGTAAGCCCCTAATAATGGATGGTGTGTTTGGGAGTGTATTTTACTAACAATTCACCTACATGCCAAGTGCTACCTAAAGAGGTGCAAGGACTCCCCCCTTCTGTATATATAACTCAGTGCAAGAAGTCCCTCATGGGATCGTCATGGAGGACCTTTTTCATTCTGTAAGCCTCCATTTCTTCCGGTGTAACCTACACAGAGAAATGTGGTAAGACAGCCCAAAAGAGAAGATACAGAGAAGAAGGGAAAGATAAAAACGAAGAACCAGATGTACCTCGTCATTGTATTTCACGTTGTATTTCCTTTTCCTTTCATCCCTCTCTTCTCTCCTCTTTTCATCCTCCTGCTCAGACAAGGAATACAAATTTAAGATCGTGTTAGAGCATCCAGATATACATGTGAGCTAGAGCCAGCTGAGTATCCACAATATTAAAACATGGATCCATTCAGGCTATCAACCACCACCCACTCTTTTCCACTACCATTCTTTGTGAACATCGGAAAGAAAAAGAAATTAAATTGTTTCCAAAAAGAAGAAGAGGAAACTGAGTTAATTGATCATCATGATGTGTGAGAAATCAAGATGAGTGGCTTCATAATCACCAAGAATAGGTTAAACCGGATATACCTTTTTAAGAGCTTCAGCCAGCTTTTGCTGGTCCAGAACCAAATCGTCAGGAACTTCAGTTCCCCAAGTAGTGAGCCTCTTCTCCTCAACCGGCGCATGTGTATCTAGATTGATCACATATAAGATGAAACGAATATAAATATAAAATTTTGAGATAAACGGCTACACTGCATACAATTATACCTACAAAGTGACAGGTAAGAAAAAAAACCACCTTCAAATATGGGATTCATGCCACATTAGGAAAATATGTACACATCTGAATTACAAGTGCTAGGAAATCAGACAGTTCACTGATAATTCTGTCATCAAATATGCAATTCCCCCAAAATTGCATATTCATAATACAATGAACAACAGAGGGTGGTTGAACCAAAGGAGGAATGTTAACTCCTTTGACTTTTGTCAAATTCTATTACATTGCTGCCCCCAGAAAAACTGTAGAAGGTTGCTAATTCCAGTAATAATCAAATTCTTGACCAAAATTCGAAGAAGATGACGGGCAAAATCTCAGCAGTCTATGAAATAAATGCTCTGTATTTATAGGTAAGAAGACCCTAGACATCCCAAACAAGTTGGGCTCGGCTATATGAATCCTCACTGACTATGTTTCCCTTTCAATTCATCTCAAGCCAACATCAAATGAAGTAATAAATATAAATAATAATAAAAATACCAGCAGTTCTCCATCTTTCCTATTGCGTAAAAATCTCTAATATTGCTAAAAGACTCCTATAAAGCATAAGATCTAAAGTAAACATATTAAGAGTACTCCCAATCAATTGGGCATCATGGAAAATACTTGGATTTGAGAAACTAGAGACTTGAAAAGCATTTCCGTTCTGTGATTTTTTTACTGGTCTGACAACGAGAATGTGCTCTAAGAAAAGAGTTGATGATATCATTGGAATTACGTTGATAATGATCTAGTTCACAATGTGCTTTTTTTCTTTTTTTGCGGAGGAAAGTAGCAGGTAACTTAAAGAAGTAATATGATGGTCTCTCGTAACTTCGGGTCATATGCATCCATAAAATCTAAAATCAAACAAAAAGAATTGTGAAAGTTCCATTATCAGGAAACTGGATTATCGGGGATAGCAACCTGAATTTCAATAGAGAACACTAACCTTCAGCAGACTCCTTGCGAGCAATATTGGCCTTCATAAGATCAGTAGAAGCCTCAGCTGCTTCAATTCCAGCAGCACCTGTACAGTAGCTGTTTCTGATTGTCTGTTTGCAGCATTTGTAACCCCAATGGTGATCCTTCCACCATGAACCCCAAACTGTGGTGTGGTTATTGATAAAAACATCCTCTTCATATTTGCTTCTAGGAATAGACATCTCCTACAGCAAGCAACTCACAAGTTATGCCAAACAAATGAATCTAGAAACATTTTATAAACATTATCCACTCTTAATTTCCTAATAAATGTTATTTCTAGTTCTATCTTATTTCCCCAGAAAATGGAGCAAGTATTTCTTTGCACCGCACAGGCTAGTTGAGAAGGTTTTGGAGACCGTATCTGAAATTTGTCGTGCTGTCCAGATGTTTATGTAAATGAGGATAGTTAAGTCTGGAATCTAATTAGCTGTATGAAAGGCCGATGATAGTTTCTTTGAGGTATCAGTATACATTCATTCTTTAATAATCCTCTCATAGAGTTTAATAAGTAATATTTCTTTATATATCAAGTTATTTCCAGTTTGGATAAACTTGGTTAGGATAAGAATAGAAATACCCGCATCTTCAAAAGAAAAAAGATGTCAAATTGCCTTCAACCGAAGTAAACAGAGCCATATGATTGGAGACTGGATTGCTGGATATGATGGAAGAAGAGGATGATCTCTTGAATTGTTCTGCTCTCAATGCTTGAAGTAGGAAATAGTAATGAAGTTTATTATGTTGCTGGAACTGAAAGGTGAAGGGAACCTAAACCCAGCAGAGATTGGAATTAAGCAGAATGAACCCAAATGATATCAGATACTTTTTTACAATTGCAACAACAATTAAGCTTCAATCTCAGAGTAATTTAATATATACCATTACATTATGCCATTCAACCCCATGTCCTAAAACTTGCAAAGTAATTTATGCAGTTTTTGATGAAAGAATTACCTGGCCCTTCACAATCCTACCAGCACAATCATATTCAACTTCTCTCTCACTCTGACCCAACAGTAGTTCTCTCGGGAGTATTTCTTCACTGGCAGCATTACCATACTTCTCCATGATATCCTCCTTTGTTTGTGACTTCAGTTTCTCCTTGTTAACCTTGTAATTTTTGTGAAGCAGTTCTGCTTGGGATGGAGCTGCTTGCATATGAACATCATGCCCCTTGTCAAAAGCTTCCCAAGCATGAATATTCAGCTGCTTGAACTCCAATGCTTGACCACTAACTCTATTTTGGTTATCACCCTATAAGAGGAAACATAAAAGGATGACTATGTCAAAAAAAATATGAACAATGAAAACCAGTACTTTTTGGTGGATCAAATGTACACTTACAGCATAGAACTTTTCATTGGGATCCATATCTGGAAGAGGGTCTTCTCGCATGGACCGGGTTTTGGGATCATAGTGTGCAGAATTGACGTCAAGATTAAGAAGATATTTTGCTGTATCTTCCCGGATACGTAGATTCCTGGACAATGCAGAAGCATCAGTAGCTTGATAAAGTAGCACGCAGACCAATATGTGTACTATGTACTTTCTACATAGAACAAGTCAACCATTCGCTTAACCCCTCATTCCTTCACCCCCTCTCCCCAAAACCAAACCCAAAAAAAAAAAGAACACAGGAGCCCAAAAGTGAATAGGCAGGAAGGGATCAAAAATGAAAAGATGAAAAGGAAGACAGACCTAACAGTTCCTGTGCTTCCACCACCAGTGGTTCGTACACGCTTCTCAACTTTTGCAAAATCCATCTGCTTGCTTTCATCAACCTTGGCTTCATCTACCTTCAAAACATCTTCAAAATCTTCATCTTCGCTATCTCCTCTTTCTTCATCCTCTTTGTTATTTTTCTCCTCCAACTTTTTTAGTTGCTGATCTTTAAGGTATTTCTTTCTTGCTTCATCCCTTGCTTCATATCGTTCAATGATATGAGCATAAGAAGCAGCATCGTAGCCATTCCAACGATCCCTTTTACCATCATAATCCAGCTCAAACTGCTCGATCTTCTCATCAGGAGCAATATGTTTTCCGGTCCATTTTGCTCCTAATTTGCGTGGCCTGTCCATGCATGACTTAGCATCGTGCGTCATTGCTCCACAGCTGTGTCAGTCACATTATATTAAGATTATCACGTAAGAAAGCACATTAAGCAGCAATACTATTTGTCTATTTCAACACCAAAGTACATAGAAGGTTTGCTATTTCTTGAATCCAAAAAAGTTGTTGGCCTTTTTCCAACTTTAGGGTTGGGATCAGATAAGTACACTAATTTTCTATTAACTTCCCAGAGTAAAAAGTATACACCAGAAATTGAAGTTTCGCGATGCACCAACCAGACAATGACTACAAAATTTGAATTTCCAGATCAAAGGATACTCTTTTGATTGAAGTCCTTTTTGACCATGTTAAAGATAAGAGACATAATGTATACATCTAGGAAAGCCAGCAAAAAGAATGTGAATCACCAATACATCGGAAACTACCAAGAAAACCAATGGTTTACTTACTTTTCACAAGCACCCTTTCTATACTCGTCAGCCTGATATATTTTTGCACCTCTGTCATACCATGATTTCGTGTAATTTGGATCAGATTTCCATTTCCTTTGATGTTTCAAACTCTATGGAATAGAACAGCAAGTGAATGTCAAAAGTGCGCCTAGGTAATCAAGAAACGCAACACTGACCGAAACTCTAAACAAGGAGAAAACACATACTGGTCTCTCTGCATTGAGATACCAAGGAGCTGAAGACATATACTGAGGAATGTGAGGATTAATTTCTTTTCCATCCTCATCCAACTCTGCTGGTGCAAGACCAGCCTTTCGCGCTTCTTCTAATTCCAACTGTTTCCTGTGGTCCTCCCTAGACTTAAACGCCACTGCATTTTTACAAAATATTAGAGTTGCATCAGATAAATTAAAGATTTTATCATGGAAGCAACCACTGTCTTATGCAGAAAAGCTTTATGCAGCATGAACTTGATCCCATCAAAGCATCAAACTTTAGGCACAGTTTGTTTCTTAGAAGATTGTTTAAGCTGAGGAAAGATAATATTATTTCCAAAAAAACATGTGTTAAATTTTTTTCAGGAAGTTTCTTCGAAAGACTTTTTCAATATAGAAAGGACATGACTTATGAGGTGTTTCTCATTAAAAAACACTCTTCCACTAACAAACCACCCAAAACCTTTATTTAAAAAATTCTCCAAACACATTTTTCTTCTAAACAAACTTTAACAGCACCTTTACATCAACTGGTTTGCAACTGAATCCATGATAAATCTATTATTCCATCTAAATACAAATTAATCCAATGATAACAATATGCAGCTAGAGCAACAATCCCAAACATATCAATCCAGTGTATATAAAAAAATATTTTTTCCATAAATCCATTCGCTCTATGTTGCGCCCGCTTAGTACAATATACTCAATAATTATACTTTTAAAATGACAGATTAGCAAATTATACCAAGAAAAATTTGCATTCGAGCAAATATTAGCAAATTATATCCAAAAAAACATGCATTCGAGCAAATATTAGCAAATTATATCCAAAAAACGTGCAGTCGAGCTAATATCAGCAAATTATATCCAAAAACTTGCAATCGAGAAAATATTAGCAAATTATATCCAAAAAACTTGCATTCGAGCAAATATTATCCCTATTTGTAATATCGAAAATATGCGTGCCTGAAGCAGTAGCCATGATTGATTCTCCAGATACAAATACCTAAATGAATGAATCAAACACCAAACCTAGAGAGATAACTCTACGAGTGACCAACAATGTGGTGATTCTTTGATTGATTATGGAGTTCCGGGTTTAATCCATTTTATGGGTCGGGTTTAGTTTATTTCATATGAAGCCGGGTTATACCATGTCAATTTCATTGGGCCTCGAATATTTTGGGCTCTCAATTTCATTGGATATACTTTGCATCACATATCCAACTCAGTTGGAGGAAATTTTAGAAAATAGCCATACTTTGAGCTCTAATTATCAATTATAGTGATAGTTAATTATCAAAAGTAGCAATAGTTCCATGTATCAATTCGCTTAGCATTTGTTCATTTTTTTAATCCAATAAGTAACAACAAATACCAACTAGAACAAATCTAATACAATTCCAAGTGAAACAAAATAAATAAAATTTCAATTCTCGCTATATATATCGTAATTTTTAAACTTTCACTATTTTGAGTAAATACATTCACATGTCTTCTCTATTAGGTAATATTCTCCACTTATCAAGATGATGCGAGAGAGCCCAAGACAAGATCAAAAGGCTTGTATTCAAGTGCTCTTATTTTATGTATATGTGAAATAATAAACGTCAAATAAGATTTTGTCTTCTTTTTCTTTGGTTGCGCGGTAAATTCACCCCACTTAGCATGATGTGATGTTTTCAAATTTCAATCCGCTCCGCATAAGCAAATTGTTAGATTTTAAAGGTGTGAATAAAAAGTAAAGAGTTGTGACTTTCTGAAAGATTATTACTTTTGTGAAGATTGTGACTCTTACAAAAGGTTATGTCTTTTCTAAAGAGTTGTTACCATTTAAAAGGTTGTGTTATTTTCTAAAGAATGTGACCTTTTTGAAAGTATGTCTCTTTTCCAAAATGTTGTGACATTTTCGATAAAGAACAATTAACACATTTTTATATACTATCTTTTGTTGGATATAAATAGATATGTTTTCTCTCGTTTTTTGAAATTGAATTCTTCACATTTTCTTCATACATTTCTTTCAAAAAAAAGAAAGATGATTGATCGTATTTGTGTGTGATCACCAATACTTGTCATTTTATAGAGGGAAAAGGATAAAAAATGTCCTTAAACTATGTGAAAGAAATAAAAATGTCAGTCATTTATAGTTTGACTCGAAATGTCCTTACCATCAATATTTTGATCCAAAAATGCCCTTAAACTATGTGAAAGGAACAAATATGTCCCCCGTTTGTAGTTTGGTCCAAAATTATTGTTATTTAATGGGTCAAAAAAGTTCATTTGCCAAATAAATATATTATTATTTTCTTTTTGACACATTTTTTTCAATTAATGTTTTTTAAAAAAATTAGCAAATATTTTTTTTACTTTAATTCAGAAAAAATAATAATAAAAAAATTATTTTATCATCCATATTTTTTATCGTTATATAAATATGAATTAATTAAAGATATACTATGATCTTATATATATGACATATATTATCTATCGAAAGGGTAGATGAAATTATTCTATTTTTAATTGATAAAATGAGATTAAGAAGAAAAAAAATATTTCCTACATTTTTACTTGTTAAAGTGATTTTAAAAGAAAGAAAACAAGAATAGTGTTTCTTAATAGTAATATTTTAATTAGGAAGATGTAACGGGAAAAAATAATATATTTATTCAGTAAAAGGGTATTTTGGTGAATTTTGTAACTATAGGGGTATATTTTGGCCCCCAAACAACGTTTAACAGATTATGATTTTTTTTATCAATTTTCCCAAAAGAACGCTTTCAAAATTAATGACCAAACAATTTCAAAGATATTTTTTATCTTTTTTGGGAAAAATTCTAATCAAAAGTTACATCACCACAAACACTCGTATAAATAAACGATCTTCCTCGTCCCCATATAAATCTTTAAACAAATTTACATGTGACTCTTTTAAACATGTTCCAATGTCATGGAACACGACAAACAGAAAAATATAAAACAACCACACACATAGTGTGGTCCATTGAACAATCAAATTATTTTTTCACCTCAAATTTCATTTCAATTAAATATATTTTCATATATTAAATGTATTTGTCTTATATGTTTTATTAATATTTTTTATACTTCACTCATAAATTTAGATGTACATGTTTTACTAGAATAAAAAATCTATCTTGAAGAATTTCTTATCATATAAAATTCAATAACTAGGTATATATTGAATTTTTTCAAACTTCGCTCGTAAATTTATTTTTATTGTTGAAATTAAAATTAAGGAAGTATCTTTTATTTTCACTTCTTTTAGTTTACAAGAAAATAAAATATTACTCCTTTCATTTCAAAATAATTAAAATTTTAGGGTGTCTCATACTCTTAAAAAAAAATATTTGAACATATATTAAATATTATTCTATACTTTTTTTCTTATTATTTATCATCAAAATAATTTTAAAAATAATTCACATAAAAACTAAAAATAAAAAAATATTTATTATAAAATATTTCTTAAAAATTAAATAATTAAATTAATTTAAAATATAAATAATATTTCAATAATTCAATTATTTTAAATCTGTGAAGGAGTTGGCCAATGGGGCCTATTTGAATTATCAACGTGCTTCATGCGAGGATTTCTGCCAACAACAAAGGAGTATCCACTCGTACGCTGATTGAAATTGATCCATCTTTAATTATAGATTTTCTATTTCAAATATTTTTTTATTAGAAATTATATTTTTCTTAATGAGTCATATCTAGTATAAATTTGAATTAATTTAGATTACCATATGTCACATAATAATTATAATATATAAATAAGTAATCTAATTTTCTTTTATTTTATATTTATGTGTATTTTAACTTTAAATTTATACAAATAAATACTTGAATAGGATATCATGTGAGTTCTGACTGATACATATTACACAAATTGACATACAAAATATCAAGTAAGATGCATCAGTTTATTTATTTATTTATTTTTATATAAATTTTAATACGTAATATTTAATTACTTAATACTTTAAATTAAAAAATATAAATATAAATAGAAAATCAAGTTACATGGTTGAATATTTATATAATATCCCAACCCAAAAAAAAAAGTCATCCATAAGCTTCCCTAGTGTCTGTTTCTGTCTTTTTCTTTGTGTCAGAAGATGACAAAACATCGATTATATTTTGTATCAGTAACAATAATAGCTTATTTAAACCAAAGTCGACATCATCCATATATTATACGCAAAGCAAAATCACTATGTTTGTATTGGATTTACGTTATATTACATGTAAATCGAAATCACATATGCCACGTATCTCTACGTATTAATAATATTTTTTTTCGATTATATTTATATGTTATTATTTTAAATTTTATGTATATTAAGAAATTAAGTAAATTATTGTTCTATTCTTATATAATTCTTTTGAGATGAAAAATAAATTAATTCATTTTGATTACTTACATTAATGAACATAAATTATTTATTTAATTCTTTTCATATTAATTAAATATAATTTTTTAAAATTAATAACTCACAAAAAATAAAATAAATAAAATTATAATTTATATATTAATGTTATAAATAATAAATATTATACACCAACTTTTCATAATAAAAATGACCTACAAAAACAAATTAATATAGTACATGCAATCAACATCTGATCACCTCAATTAGTGCTATATTTTTCTTTTTTGAAATCGAGAATGGACCACGTGAATATATCAGTAATTAATATTGGTCCATTTTTTATCGCCGCTATCTATAAATAGTTGGTTTATAATAATTTTTTAAAAATTACTTTTCGAATTTTTAGTTTTTATAAATCAAGAAAAGATAATATACTTATTTTTACTTATAATTTTCTAATTAATTAATTTTTTAAAAAAGAAGATAAAAAAACTTTAAATCTTAAATTTTTAATTCATATCATTCATAATTAATAGGGATAAAACGATAAAAATTTGTGTTAATTATTATTTTCTTAGTAGATATATCAATTTAAAAGTGAATAAGTAATTAGGATTCCAAAAAATACTTATCATTTCATAAGATCAATACATAAATTACAATATTTTCACATTATACTCTTCGCAGTTTACTAATCTTGAAAATAAATATTTATCCAATCTAGAAAAACTATTAAGCAATTAATGTTCATTGTAGTTATATTATATTTTAATTAATTGCTCTTATCATTATATTATTCTATAAAATTTGATTTTTAGGAGAATTCTCAAAAAATAAATTTAAAATAATTTTATTTATCACTCATTGAAAGATTAACTTTAAAATACAACACATTGAAATATTAAAACATGACATATAAAAAAAACAGCAAAATATTTTAATAATAAAATAAACAATGTTCAAAATTATTCTTTAATTATGAACATTACTTTATTTATATAGTTTGATCAAGTTTTAAATACAATTATGCATATACACACTTATTCAATGAATGTGGCTATATACTAAAAGATGTATAGTCACCATCAAAGGGGGTACGACCGAGCTGTTGTTTTCTTAATCATAAATCTAAAATATGAGTTCTGAATAACAAAATATTTTTAGTAGAATTTTTTTCTCTTAATGAAATTCAATATCGATTTTTAAAAAAAAAAAAATTATAGTCAGTTTCACCACAGCTAATTAATTGCTTAACACATTTTTTTCTCTACCTTTGCTTTGTATGTATATTTACTTTAGGCCAAATTTATCGGCAGCCGTTTAAATTTGGAATTTTAACTTAGACACCTCAATTAGGCGATATTTCTTTTAGACACCTTATATGGGGTTCTGTTATGTTATTTTGACACTAATCTAACAATAAACAAAAAATTAAAGGAGAATGCAATACACTGATGACGTGACAAACAATCAATAAAATAATTATGTGTTATTTTCAATTAAAATAATTATGAAATCTATTTAGTAAATAAATTTAAAATATTATTCTAAGAAAATCTCTTATTTTTCATTACACTCAAAATCTCTTTTGTGTTTTTTCAAAAAAAATATTCTTTTCTTTTATTATTTTTCATATTTATTCATCTTCTTTCTTTTTAGTATTGTTTTTTGGAAAGAAAAGATGGAGAGGAAGAAAGAAGAAGAAATAAATATGAAATATGTGTGTTGGTATTCATTTTTCCATAAAAAAAAATAGGGAAGTGATGTTAGATTTAGATAAGCAGTACAATAAAGAAGAAGAAAAAAACATAAAAATAAATTTGAATAAAAAATTTGACCTCCGTTGAAGGAATTTAAGCTTGAAAAAAAGATTAGGGTGATGACTTGAAAAATGGAGAAGAAGAAGAGAAAATAAAATTAAAAATAGCTAAATTAAGTCTTTCACGCATTATTATTGAATGTTTCACACTTTATTTGACACGTCAACAAAAATTGTCAAAATGATAACAAAATCATACATGAGGTATCTAAAATGACTATCGCCTAATTAAGAGCCTGTTTGGCTCAGCTTAAAAGCTGGTCAAACTGACTTAAAAGCTGGTTTTTGACTTATTTAGCTGTTTGGCAATACTCAAAACAGCTTATTTTAAGTTTAAAAAAACTTATTTTAAGCCAAAAGTTAAAAGCTGAGGTAGGGGTGCTTTTTTATTTTTAGCTTATAAGCTGTTTTAAGTTGACCACATTTTTATCTTTTTGTGCTGAATATTTTTATACAATCTCCAAATTACCCATATAACCCTAACATTTCTTTCTTCCATTTATCCCTTTTCACATTTGACATAACAACTTCAGCACTTTTATCCAAACACATAAATGCTTATTTTAAAAATAAGTTTCAGCACTTTTAAAAGTACTTTTTTAAAGCTGCTTTTATTAAGCCCATCCAAACGGGCCCTAAATTATCTAAATAAAAATTGGTATCAAATTTAAGACACCACCAATAGATTTGACCTTTACTTTATCAGCCAACTGGAAAGTTTGTTTCATGTCATAACTAAAAAGGAATTAAATTTTGTTTTAAATTTGTTATCCTCTGTCTTTAATTAATTGTTTTTTATAGTTGTTTTTTTACTTGTTTAGTTAAAGAAAAATTAAAAAATGATAAAAATAAATTATTATACTATCAATTAATTATATTTTAAAAACTAAGAACCTACGAAAAGTTATAAATTTTAATTCATTCACTTCATACTTAATATGATAAAATAATAAATTTAATATATTAATAATTATTTTTTTAATACGTATATCAATTTAAAAGTGGACAAATAATTATGACATGGAATATTTAGATATACACTTTTTTGGTCTACTTTTTATTTATTTATTATTACATTAATATATATATATATATATATATATATATATATATATATATATATA